TGCACTTATTGATGAAGCCGGTGACTGGTCACTGGTGCTTCCTGCTTTAGTTTTTGCTTGTAAGCACGAATCAGGAGGATAGAATTATGGTCAGATTTGCCAAATGGAGGGCGAGGGAGAGCTTTGTACGTGTCTCTGTGTGTGGAGTAAATGATTGCACGTTGGCCAATAGGATGGACGGTAGAGGCGGGTTACCCACTCGACAACGAATTCTCACATGGCACCCCGACCTGCGTCCCCTGTATCGGCGTCTTCTCTTGTGGTCCTCTGTAGCTCAATTGGTAGAGCATGGCGCTTGTAACGCCAGGGTAGTGGGTTCGATCCCCGGGACCACCCATACGTAAAAATGTATGCACACATGACTGTAAGTCGCTTTGGATAAAAGCGTCTGCTAAATGGCATATTATTATAATAATAATAATAATTATTATTATAATAATATTACTGTTATTATTATCTTATTATTATTATTATTATTATTCTCTTCATGTGAATGACGGGGATTTGGGCCTGGTTGTGTATCTGGAATAAATCCTTTGCGTCCGACTCGCTGTTCTGATATCCAGGAGCTCTTTTCGGTCATAAGAGACGGTGGCAGAAACATTATGTGCAAAATAAGTTACAAACAACGTGAAAAAACACACAAAATAGCACAATTGGTTAGGAGCCCGTAAAATGGAGCCATTCTTCTGAGAGAGAGAAGAGGGAGAGATAGATGAGAGAGAGAAAGATGAGAGAGAGAGAGAGAGAGAGAGAGAGAGAGAGAGAGAGAGAGAGAGAGAGAGAGAGAGAGAGAGAGAGAGGAGAGAGGAGGAGAGAGGAGAGAGGAGAGAGAGAGAGAGAGAGAGAGAGAGAGAGAGAGAGAGAGAGAGATAGAAAGATGAGGCTGAGTAGAGTTGAGGAGAGGGTGCTGCAACACTAAGCAGTTTAGATGGATTTCTTCCCCCTTAGGGTAGCTGAACTATCACAGAGACGAGTGTTGTGTACTAGGCTTGGGCGGTAATCTGTATACTGGGGTATTTCCTTGAAGTTTTTCCATAAATTACTATCTGACTGCAGGTATCTACTTTTTAAGTAAACACCTGCAGTCAACTTGTGCAATACGTTAGGAGATAAAGCAGGTCGCGCACTTCATTTCACCGGTCACATGACTTTATGAAGCTTACCGTAGTTCCCCAGAACAGTTGAACCAGTCAGGTGTGTGTTTGTAAACAGTACAATGGGAGAAAGCGGGAGCAGGTGAGTCCAGCTGTGTATTGACAGGGGTCGTGCTTTATAATGAAAGCCAACAGTGTTTTTTTGGCTTCAATAGAGTGATCAGGGACGTGCAACTATAGTTTTCCTTCACAGAAAATACATTAGTGCGACACATTCGGCAGAAAATAGCTTCATTTTCATCAGATGACAACAGAAGTGCAACGCTATTTGGCTAGCAGCCACACAAGCAAATGAGCTAACAATGAAAAAGCAAGGTATATTTCTAATGTTTATCATAGAAAGAATGTATCCAGCTACATTTCCTAATGTTTTGCTTCAAGTTCATCTCACATTTTACTGGAGAAAAGTCGGCAACACGGAGAAAAGTACCAGAGATAAGTAGCTCCACATCAGTCTGAGCTGTCTGCAGATAGAACGCCCGTTGATGAATTCTCATCAGAATGGAGAAGTGCAACTGAACCACAACATTAGTCTGATGCCGAGCAGAAATTACAACAAGATGCATTTTAGATTTGCATTTAAAAAACGCAGCAAGATATTTCTTATGCGTTTAAAAAAAAAAATCCCTGCATGAAAAATGAAGAATTCTGCGTTAACGTGACCCCTAAGTTCCAACTTGCTAGTTATCTAAGTCAAATCCCTTTGAATGGGTTAACTGTACTGCTGCCACTGTCATCTTTACTTCATTGTGTTTTTTTTTTCTCCACTCCGTTCTCGGCTCCTCTGCTCCTCCCCCATCTTCTCAGAGCAGGCAGGCCCGTTGCCCTAGCGACTCCAGACTCCACACAGACACAGCGTGTAGGCATGCTGCTCCAGATCCAGTCCTGTTCTTCCTTCAGACAAGCTGCTGCTCCAGATCCAGTACTGTTCTTCCTTCAGACAAGCTGCTGCTCCAGATCCAGTACTGTTCTTCCTTCAGACAAGCTGCTGCTCCAGATCCAGTACTGTTCTTCCTTCAGACAAGCTGCTGCTCCAGAGCCAGTACTGTTCTTCCTTCAGACAAGCTGCTGCTCCAGATCCAGTACTGTTCTTCCTTCAGACAAGCTGCTGCTCCAGATCCAGTCCTGTTCTTCCTTCAGACAAGCTGCTGCTCCAGATCCAGTCCTGTTCTTCCTTCAGACAAGCTGCGTCAAAACTTTGTTCATTTGCACGATGTCTCTCGTTCACATTCGCTTGTAAATGTCTGCCAAAAATGACATTCGGTAGCTCCTACCAATATACAGTGAGGGAAAAAAGTATTTGATCCCCTGCTGATTTTGTACGTTTGCCCACTGACAAAGACATTTTATGGTAGGTTTATTTGAACAGTGAGAGACAGAATAACAACAACAAAGATCCAGAAAAACGCATGTCAAAAATGTTATAAATTGATTTGCATTTTAATGAGGGAAATAAGTATTTGACCCCTCTGCAAAACATAACTTACAACTTGGTGGCAAAACCCTTGTTGGCAATCACAGAGGTCAGATGTTTCTTGTAGTTGGCCACCAGGTTTGCACACATCTCAGGAGGGATTTTGTCCCACTCCTCTTTGCAGATCTTCTCCAAGTCATTAAGGTTTTGAGGCTGACGTTTTCTATGGGATTAAGGTCTGGAGACTGGCTAGGCCACTCCAGGACCTTAATGTGCTTCTTCTTGAGCCACTCATTTGTTGCCTTGGCCGTGTGTTTTGGGTCATTGTCATGCTGGAATACCCATTCACGACCAATTTTCAATGCCCTGGCTGAGGGAAGGAGGTTCTCACCCAAGATTTGACGGTTCTTGGCCCCGTCCATCGTCCCTTTGATGCGGTGAAGTTGTCCTGTCCCCTTAGCAGAAAAACACCCCCAAAGCATAATGTTTCCACCTCCATGTTTGACGGTGGGGATGGTGTTCTTGGGGTCATAGGCAGCATACCTCCTCCTCCAAACACGGCGAGTTGAGTTGATGCCAAAGAGCTCGATTTTGGTCTCATCTGACCACAACACTTTCACCCAGTTCTCCTCTGAATCATTCAGATGTTCATTGGCAAACTTCAGACGGGCCTGTATATGTGCTTTCTTGAGCAGGGGGACCTTGCGGGCACTGCAGGATTTCAGTCCTTCACGGCGTAGTGTGTTACCAATTGTTTTCTTGGTGACTATGGTCCCAGCTGCCTTGAGATCATTGACAAGATCCTCCCGTGTAGTTCTGGCCTGATTCCTCACCGTTCTCATGATCATTGCAACTCCACGAGGTGAGATCTTGCATGGAGCTCCAGGCCGAGGGAGATTGACAGTTCTTTTGTGTTTCTTCCATTTGCGAATAATCGCACCAACTGTTGTCACCTTCTCACCAAGCTGCTTGGCGATGGTCTTGTAGCCCATTCCAGCCTTGTGTAGGTCTACAATCTTGTCCCTGACATCCTTGGAGAGCTCTTTGGTCTTGGCCATGGTGGAGAGTTTGGAATCTGATTGATTGATTGCTTCTGTGGACAGGTGTCTTTTATACAGGTAACAAGCTGAGATTATGAGCACTCCCTTTAAGAGTGTGCTCCTAATCTCAGCTTGTTACCTGTATAAAAGACCTGGGAGCCAGAAATATTTCTGATTGAGAGGGGGTCAAATACTTATTTCCCTCATTAAAATGCAAATACATTTATAACATTTTTGACATGCGTTTTTCTGGATTTTTTTGTTGTTATTCTGTCTCTCACTGTTCAAATAAACCTACCATTAAAATTATAAACTAATCATGTCTTTGTCAGTGGGCAAACGTACAAAATCAGCAGGGGATCAAATACTTTTTTCCCTCACTGTATGTATAACATTACGAGCTATATTGCCTGTCTTTGTAATTTGTTTATTTTCATTTGCGCTCGTTATCATATTTAGCTAGCAGCTTCCATGGAAATTCACTATTACTTGTGCTAATTTTGTTAGCATTCTGGTAACAGATGCCCAATGGTATTCTTTGCATTTTTTTTTTTGGTGCCCCCTTGTGTACTAAGCCGGTAATACGGTAAATCCCGGGATGAGAGTAGGACGGTATGACGATATGAAAATCTGAAAACACTATTGTGTACATAAAATGAATGCAATGTGTATTATTGTGACATACACCGGATAGGTGCAGTGAAATGTGTTATTTTACAGGGTCAGCCATAGTAGTACACCATACCCTGGAGCAAATTAGGGTTAAGTGCCTTGCTCAAGGGCACATCAACACATTTTTCACCTTGTGAGCTTGTACTGCAGCGGGTGTTGGTCGAACAGGTTGTGTGTGTGTGTGTGTGTGTGTGTTTACACGCGTGTGTTAATAACAGATGTTGTCAGAGCAGGGTGTGTGTGTGTGTTTCAGTTTCATGTTTTAATGTCACGTGCACAAGACAGTGAAATGCCTTTCTTGCCAGCTCCAAACCCAACAATCCAGTAATCAATAACAATGTAGCACTAAAAATAACAGAAGGTAGAACAGAAACACAGGGAAATAAAATTAAGAAATAAGTGTGTGTCAGTGTCTCAGTGTGTCTCTCAGTGTGTCTCTCAGTGTGTCTCTCAGTGTGTCTCTCAGTGTGTCTCTCAGTGTGTCTCTCAGTGTGTCTCTCAGTGTGTCTCTCAGTGTTTGTCTCAGTGTGTCTCAGCGTGTCAGTGTCTCAGCGTGTCTCTCAGTGTGTCTTTCTCAGTGTGTCTCTCAGTGTTTGTCTCAGTGTTTGTCTCAGCGTGTCAGTGTCTCAGCGTGTCATGCGTGAGTGTATGTGCGTGCATTAGATGTTCCACTCACCTATAGGAGGTGTTGTCAGAGCAGGGTTGGTGTGCCCTCACCACTACAAACACGTGTTGAAAGTGTGAGCGTATGTTCTTGGGGGTGAAGGGTTGAGCCCCGGGCTCCTGGAATACGATGGTCACTATGTCATTACCTATGTGCCGCTTCCTCAGGAGCTGGGAAACGCAGACAAACTGGTTAGGGAAAACAGCAAAGGAAAGCTCTCAAGGTAAACATATGGACAACAAGAGACAATGTGACAAATATTTATTTTTTACGTTTATACTGCAATTCCATGTGAATTCACAATGCAGCTGCCAGCAACGGTTTGGGTCTCACGGTGCGTCCCCTTTCAGATGGTTAAGCATTACCTGTACTACCATTACCGTACCTCAATTTCCTTTTCATTTAACTTGTCAAAGTATTGCCATACAAGACTTTGCTGCTGTCTCTTGCCATTTTTCCATCTGTTAACAACAATGACGTAGTGGTGGAGAGTCCAAAATAATTGAATCCTCGAGTCCTTGCGCGTCGACTTCCGGCGTCGACCCTCATTTCTTAGTCTCAAAATTACATTTAGCTAGGACACGACTCCTAAGATTCTGTATTTTTGGAATGGAGGAGACTGATTAGTTGCCGTACTTCCAAGAACACAGACACTCGCTTCTTTCATAGCGATGGGCGGAGAGAGGGGAGGGGCACTGTATAGTAGGTCTGTCCCCGACTAAAAACAATCTTGGTCGACCGAAAGTCGTCTGTTCAATCGATTGGTCGACATTTTTAAACGTGTATTTTTCCATATATAGATACACCCTATGTGTTTTAATAAACTCAGCTATATGCATTGAGCTTGCCTGATGCTTAAAAGCTTACTGTTTGATTAAATAAGACAAATGACTCAAGAGGGAGCCAGAGAGCTAGATAAGCAGAAGACAAAAACGTAACCTGACCCAACCATTCTCCTCCCGCTCCTGCTGGCTTTTGCAGATTCTGCCATTACTCTCCTGAAGTTTCCGGTAATAGGCTACACGAGGAGTCAGAAACCTTTAATGTGGAACGCCAATTTATCTTACCATTTTTTACTGATCTGCGTGACAGTTATGGTTTTCATACGCATAACTGTCTCTCGCAATTTCATGGCTTGCCATGTCTCGCAACTTCAGTAAAGCAGGGGCCTATCATCAATGAACAGGCTATGGATATTGAGATGAGCGAGATGCATCACTTAGCTCCCACACGGTCACACACAGTATCTGCGCATGTGCACGGGTTCGCTTCACACTGTTCACAGGGGGGTAGCCAGGGCACCAAAACAGCAGAGGCTTCACACTGTTCACAGGGTGGTAGTGATGGCACCAAAACAGCAGAGAAGTATACAGTATAAATCGTAATAGCAGAGCACTGTTTTTGAAACAACTGAAATGTATAGGCATTATCCTTCCTATTATTGAGTTTCTATCTGAAATTGCAGTAAAAGGCGGGTATTGACGGCGTAGCTTTAAGGGATTTTCAGAACACTGTAATTCATTCCAATGCAAAAGCGAGCAGGAACTCCATCAACTGCTCAGTGAATTGTTCAGTTGCAATTTGCTTTTTTTAAATGTAATGATTTGCATGATATTGTTGAAATGAAGCATGGTTTGTTCTAAGGTAGGCCAAAAAGCCTACCCTAGATACCGTTCGCTGACGTTAGCATTCAGCTAACTAGCCAGTTAACTCAGCCTACTAATTTACTAACGTTAGCTATGTGAGGATGCAGAGTGCAGACATTTTGTTTAGCTTGCTACCTAGCTCTATATAATATGAATGACACTGTATGCTAATACTACTGTACTTTTATATTCGTATGAGAGGAGTAAATGTTCATTTTCCTATGCTGAAGTTACTTGATGAAGCAAACATTGTTAACTCGATGTTAGGAAGTTAGCTAGCAGTTGTTCCACTTGGCTGTGTTATTGCCTTGCTAAATTAATGAGTGTATGGATGAGAAATTAAACCATTTAAAATGTCTGCACGTTTGTGAATTGTTGCCTTAATTAAGAGTGTAATATGGTATATGCATGAAGAGTTGATTGTATATAAATTAATAATTTGCTACTGTGACATTTACGGCACTTTTGCGCTGCGAAGCAAGAACATCACCCGAACATATTATTATTATTATATTATTATATTATTATATTATTATATTATTATATCACCCGAACCCTCTCTCAGCTTGTGACATTCCCGTTGCGAATGTGAATTGAAAAGTTGATGTACATTTTGTTTTGTGATAACTGCACTGTGATTTTAATTTTGTGGGGGGAAAAAAAAACAAAAAACATGTTTTTCAATTAGGGTTTTTTCTTAACGTTAAAGGAAAATCTTTTGGTGTTTGTTTCATTAGTCCATTGGTGATATGGTCCCAAAATGTTTTGCTTGTCAACAATCAAGTTTTCAAGATATATAATTTCCAAATACAGAAATACAGCCGGTATGATGCAAAATGCATGTAATTGTATTTATTTATTAGACATTTTGAAGGATGATATGATCAAAAGTCAATGTGGAGACAGTAGCATTGTCTTAACGGACTTGATCATTGAGTTTTCTACCTCTTCTGCTAATTTCTTTAATGAACAATTTTGTTTGTTTGTTCTGATAGTCTTTGGCCTGTATAAAATCTCTACTCAATAATAACTATCCATACCTGTTGTTTGTTGTTGGGTGTGTAGGGCAGCATGGTGGAGACATGAAACATCACCTCATAGTCCTTATAGGTGGTGTAGAGGGAGTGGGTCCCTGTGGAGTCAGCTAGACGAGAGAAAACAGACATTAATGAACTAGGGTTAGAAACAGACAGGTTCATAGCCCTTATAGGTGGTGTAGAGGGAGTGGGTCCCTGTGGAGTCAGCCAGAGGAGAGAAAACAGACATTAATGAACTAGGGTTAGAAACAGACAGGTTCATAGCCCTTATAGGTGGTGTAGAGGGAGTGGGTCCAAGTGAAGTCAGCTAAGAGAGAAAACTAACAGATTAGACAACACGAACAACAAAGACCAGATAGAAAGCCTTTCTGTGGCTCTGTAAGAGTCCTTTCCACCCAGATATGGACTACAAAAGTCTCTGTGTTCTCTATCCTTGACTCTGCTTCCCATGTCTCTTGGACACTGGGCGCCGGCGCTTGTTTTCCCATAAAATGCCCTCTCTCATTCTTTTTCTCTCTCTGTCTGCCAGTCAGATGTTGATTAGATGTCTTATTGTTCCAACTTCCATCATCTCTCCAGGCCTGTGTATAACAGCATCACGTCTAGAGAAAGCCTGTCTGATTCATTGTCTGTCTGACGCTTACAAAGCGTGTTCTAGAGCTGGGTGATATGTAAGAAAAAATCCATATTGCGATAAATTGCCTGAATTGATGCGATAATAATAAATAGAATGATACGTTTCTAACATTAATGTGCACCACACTTTAAAAAAAAAAAGAAGAAGATATCCTTTAAACTACTACTAGGTGGTCAGAGCCCTGGATTTGTTTAACACTTTTCTGGTTACTACATGATTCCATATGTGTTATTTCATAGTTTTGATCTAGCTAAGTGGTTAGCTTCTTGCAATCAAGCCTTGCTGTCTAATAGTTGTTTTGTGTACGCAGCAAACTGTGAGTAGCCATTTTGAGTTACTTGTATGACTTTATGAGCTGGGATGTCTGTCCTGGAAATAGTTTGTCAGAGACTGCATAAAATGTTCACAATATGCTCATTAGCATTTAGATAGCATTCGCTATAGGATTTTACATGTACTTGTTAGCATTGATTGTGGACTACAGGAAAAGGAGGACCGAGCACGCCCCCATTCTCATCGACGGGGCTGTAGTGGAGCAGGTTGAGAGCTTCAAGTTCCTTGATGTCCACATCACCAACAAACTATCATGGTCCAAAGACACCAAGACAGTCATGAAGAGGGCACGACAAAGCCTATTCCCCCTCAGGAGACTGAAAAGATTTGGCATGGATCCTCAGATCCTCAAAAAGTTATACAGCTGCACCAGAGAGCATCCTGACTGGTTGCATCACTGCCTGGTATGGCAACTGCTCGGCCTCCGACCGCAAGGCACTAAAGAGGACAGTGCGTACGGCCCAGTACATCACTGGGGCCAAGCTTCCTGCCATCCAGGACCTCTATACCAGGCGGTGTCAGAGGAAGGCCCTACAAATTGTCAAAGACTCCAGCCACCCTAGTCATAGACTGTTCTCTCTGCTACCACACGGCAAGCGTAACGGAGCGCCAAGTCTAGGTCCAAAAGGCTCCTTAACAGCTTCTACCCCCAAGCCATAAGACTCCTGAACAGCTAATCAAATGGCTACCCGGACTATTTGCATTGTCACCCCCACCCCACCCCCTCTTTTACACTGCTGCCACTCTGTTTATTATCTATGCATAGTCACTTTAACTCTAACCACATGTACATATTACCTCAATTACCTGGACTAACCTGTGCCCCAGCACATTGACTCTGTACCGGTACCCCCCTGTATACATAGCTTCCCTACTGTTATTTTACTGCTGCTCTTTAATTATTTGTTATTTCTTCTTATTTATCTATTTTTTTAACTTAAGACTTAGTTTTCTTAAAACTGCATTGTTTAAGGGCTACACATTGTTGTATTCGGCGCATGTGACAAATACAATTTGATTTGATTTGATTACAGAGGCTCAGTGGTGTTTGAAAACAGCATCCCTTGTGTTCAATGTCGGTATTACTGAATATCCCGGGATGGAGATGTGTGTCTGGATACCGCCCAAGCTACTAATACTAGTTTGATGGTTGTAGCCATCAATTGTCTCATATTAGCAAACTTCTTTTATTATAAACGTCACATTTCTCTAGTATAGGCTACTTATCGTAATGAACAATAACAGCAAAATGACTGCGATAAGTGATCGGTACGGTCGGTGTCAATCATTTTTGGTTTATTGTCCCAGCTCTAGCATGTTCCCCTCTTTATATAGAATCAAACCAGTGTGTGTGTGTGTGTGTGTGTGTGTGTGTGGTGTAGTAACGTACTCTTGGTGTCCAGCTGGGCATTAGAGAGAGATAGAGGGAGATAATACTGTGTGTGTGTGTGTGGTGTAGTAACGTACTCTTGGTGTCCAGCTGGGCTCGGTGTGTGTGTGTGTGTAGTGTAGTAACGTACTCTTGGTGTCCAGCTGGGCTCGGTGTGTGTGTGTGTGTGTGTGTGTAGTAACATACTCTTGGTGTCCAGCTGGGCTCGGTACTTGGTGTCTGTGTGTGTGTGTGTGTAGTAACGTACTCTTGGTGTCCAGCTGGGCTCGGTACTTGGTGTGTGTGTGTCTGTGTGTGTGTAGTGTAGTAGCGTACTCTTGGTGTCCAGCTGGGCTCGGTGTGTGTGTGTGTGTGTGTAGTAACATACTCTTGGTGTCCAGCTGGGCTCGGTACTTGGTGTGTCTGTGTGTGTGTGGTGTAGTAACGTACTCTTGGTGTCCAGCTGGGCTCGGTACTTGGTGTGTCTGTGTGTGTGTGGTGTAGTAACGTACTCTTGGTGTCCAGCTGGGCTCGGTACTGTGTGTGTGTAGTGTAGTAACGTACTCTTGGTGTCCAGCTGGGCTCGGTACTTGGTGTGTCTGTGTGTGTGTGGTGTAGTAACGTACTCTTGGTGTCCAGCTGGGCTCGGTACTGTGTGTGTGTAGTGTAGTAACGTACTCTTGGTGTCCAGCTGGGCTCGGTACTTGGTGTGTCTGTGTGTGTGTGTGTAGTAGCGTACTCTTGGTGTCCAGCTGGGCTCGGTACTTGGTGTGTCTGTGTGTGTGTGGTGTAGTAGCGTACTCTTGGTGTCCAGCTGGGCTCGGTACTTGGTGAATCCCTTCAGTCGGACCCTCTCCCCCAGCAGCTGTAGGAACTCCTCCAGAGCAGGACCTGCTGAATCATTATTATACATATCCTCTTCACTGCTCTGTCCTGACGCACAGTACATCACCCCCACCTTCAACTGGAAACTCAACTAGAGAGAGGGGTAGGGAGAGAGGGAGGGAGGGGGAGGGAGGGAGGGAGGGAGGGGGAGGGAGGGAGGGAGGGGGAGGGAGGGAGGGGGAGAGAGAGAGGAGGGAGGGGGAGGGGGAGGGAGAGAAGGAGGAAGAGATTGAGAGAGAGAGAGACAGAGGGAGAGAGACAGAGAGGGAGAGACAGAGAGGGAGAGAGAGAGACAGAGGGAGAGAGACAGAGAGGGAGAGACAGAGAGGGAGAGACAAAGAGGGAGAGACAGAGAGGGAGACACAGAGGGAGACACAGAGGGAGACACAGAGGGAGACACAGAGGGAGACACAGAGGGAGACAGAGGGAGACAGAGGGAGACAGAGGGAGACAGAGGGAGACAGAGGGAGACAGAGGGAGACAGAGGGAGACAGAGGGAGACAGAGAGGGAGGGAGACAGAGAGGGAAAGAGAGGGAGGGAGAGCGAGCGAGCGAGCGAGAGAGAGAGAGAGAGAGATGGAGGGATGGAGTGAGGAGACAGGGAGGGAGAGAGAGAAAGGGAGAGAGAGAACACAGTTTATGACAGTCCCTGTTTGAAAACTATTAAAATGCTTCCCTTTCTCCTTCCTCCCCATCCCCAAGAGCAACCACAGATCCAACAACCAGACAGATAAAAAGGTTTTCTCCCATCAAGACAGAAACCGAGAGAGGAGAGGGTGTCTGTGTGTCCTTTAGTGCTGTCCCCCTTACCCCCTGTTCGTCCAGCTTCATCAGCTGCTCTGTGACTTTAGGTGTGTTGAGTGCCAGTCTGAGACAGTGGGCGTTGAGCTCTGGAACCAGGTAATCTAGCACCTCTTTGAGGGGCAGGCCCCGCGCCAGGCCGTGCTTAGAACTGGAGGGTACCGCATCCTCCAGGATGGACCCCCGCAGGGTGGTGAGCTGGAGGGAGGAAGAGGGGAGGAGAGAGAAGAGAGACAGATCCATTATTACGTATAGCCAGGATGATACTGGGCTGTTCAGATCAATACCTATCCAATCTAATATCATTCCCTAAGACAGAGCAGCTTTCTTCCAACATCTTCCTCTCAGCTGTTAATGCTGCATGGTCATCGGAGGTCAACAACTACAATAACAACGAGCAAGTGAGAGAGAGAGAGAGAGGAGAGAGAGGAGAGAGAGAGAGAGAGAGAGAGATAGAGAGAGAGAGAGAGAGAGAGAGAGAGAGAGAGAGAGAGAGAGAGAGAGAGAGAGAGAGAGAGACAGAGAAAGAGAGAGAGAGAGAGAAAAAAAGACACCAGTGTGTGTGTGTGAGGCCTTGGCTTCTCCTCACTGTTAATTCGTTCACTTACAGAGGCACTTAGGGCTAAAACTAACTTCCTGAGGGGATAACACACTCCGTCTAAGGCTAAAGAAAACTTCAGGGGGAGGACAGTATGAATAATAGAATGAGAGGGACCTTGACTTTATATTTAATAGTAAACACACTGAGTCAAGTCCCCTGTGTGTGTGTGTGTGTGTGTGTGTCACTGAGACAGTACAGTGTCATTGAGTGTTGAAAGGCGTTGACATGTGCAGCATATTATTATGTATAATAAAGTGTATTGTAGCGTACTGTAGCTTAGTGGTCCTTTACGTTCTGACCGAGACCTGTGAGTTAAATGAACTAACAGGGCTGAACTTCAGCTGGTTGAGAGGACCCACAGCAGCACTGTGACGCTGTCTCAACCCACACACACTCACTCACACACCTGCACACCTTCCAATAGCAGCGAGCAGAGTGCAGAAGAGAAGAGGGGTGGAGAGAAAAGGAGGGGGCGGTATACTGGGAGCAGCTATTAGTAGATATTAGACCACCATTACTGTATCTGTTTCTATCACTGTCACCTAACTGGGTTCTAGAACTGTAACCACCTATAACTGGAAACAGGTTCTAGAACTGTAACCGTGTTCTATAACTGGAAACAGGTTCTAGAACTGTAACCACCTATAACTGGAAACAGGTTCTAGAACTGTAACCGTGTTCTATAACTGGAAACAGGTTCTAGAACTGTAACCACCTATAACTGGAAACAGGTTCTAGAACTGTAACCGTGTTCTATAACTGGAAACAGGTTCTAGAACTGTAACCACCTATAACTGGAAACAGGTTCTAGAACTGTAACCACCTATAACTGGAAACAGGTTCTAGAACTGTAACCGTGTTCTAGAACTGGAAACAGGTTCTAGAACTGTAACCAAGTTCTAAAACTAACAGTGCTCTATATCTGTAAAAGGTTCTATAAGTGTAACCACATTCGAACTGTAACCAGGGTTCCGAGTTCTATAACTATAAAGGGGTTCCATAAATGTAACCAGATTCTATAACTGTAAATTAGTTATACAACTGTAAGAGCATTGCTTCCACTCACATTCAATAATTTAGCTCTATTTCAGTCTATTTTACTGTGAAACTAACAGTAGTTATGTCTCTTCCTTCTGAATGCTGGTCAGAGGGGCTGTGAGTGGGAGGAAAGTAGGGTTGGATGATGAAAATGACCGGTTATGCTACTGCAGGGTCTGAGGAAGAGGAGCGAGGTAGAGAGAAGGACGGAGGGAGGTAGAGAGGAGGCTTTCAGGATGGATGACATTGTTGGTTATATAATACCAGGGTCATAGGAACTGAAAAGGCAGTTGAATCAAATCCAAATGTTATTAAATCACATGCTTGGTAAACAACAGGTGTAGACTGACAGGCTTCCTGACAGGCTTTTCCCAACAATGCAGAGAAAGAAAATAGAGAGAGAGAAAAGAAATAATAACAGGTAATAATGAAAGTAATAATAAATACAGACAGAGTGATGATAACTTGGCTATATACAAGGGGTACCAGTACCAAATCGATGTGAAAGGGATACGAGGTAATTGAGGTAAATACGGTGCCTTCAGAAAGTATTCATATTCCTTGACTTATTCCACATTTTGTTGCGTTACAGCCTGAATTCAAAATGGATTAAATAGATTTTTCCTCTCAACTATTTACACACAATAACAACATGAAAAACATGTTTTTAGACATTTTTGCAAATGTTTTGAAAAATAAATATCTCATTTACATAAGTATTCACAACCCCTGAGTCAATTCATGTGGTGTAAAGTACTTAAGTATTACTTAAGTAGTTTTTTTGGGGTATCTGTACTTTACTTTACTATTTATGTTTTTGACAACTTTACTTTTACTTCACTATATTCCTAATGAAAATATTGTACTTTTTACTCCATACATTTTCCCTGACACCCAAAAGTACTCATTACATTTTGAATGCTTAGCAACACAGGAAAATGTTCCATGTCAAGCACTTATCAACAGAACATCCCTGGTCATCCCTACTGCCTCTCATCTGGCGGACTCATTAAACACACGTGCACGACACTTCTGACATGGAAAAGGTCAATAACTAGGGCTGTGGCGGTCATGAAATTTCGGCAGCTGATTGATTGTCAAGATACTCTCAATGGTGCAGCTGTATAACTTTGAGGATCTGAGGGCCCATGCCAAATATTTTCAGACTCCTGAGGGGGAAGAGGCGTTGTTGTGCCTTCTTCGCGACTGTGTTGGTGTGTGTGGACCATGATAGATCCTTAGTGATGTGGACACCGATTAACTTTAAGCTCTTGACCGGCTCCACTACAGCCCCGTCGATGTGGATGGGGACGTGCTCGGCCCTCCGTTTTCTGTAGTCCACGTTCAGCTCCTTTGTCTTGCTGATGTTGAGGGAGAGGTTGTTGTCCTGGCCAGGTCTCTGACCTCCTCCCTATAGGCTGTCTCATCGTAGTCGGTGATCTGGCCTACCACCGTCGTGTCGGAGTCGTGCGCGGTCACGCAGTCGTAGGTGAACAGGGAGTACAGGAGGGGACTGAGCACACACTCCTGAGGGGCCCCCGTGTTGAGGGTCAGCGTGGCGGATGTGTTGTTGCCTACCGTCACCACCTGTGAGCGGCCCGTCTGCAAGTCCAGGATCTAGGATCCAGAGAGAAGGGTTCAGCCCCAAGGTCCTTAGTGATGAGCTTGGAGGGCACTACGGTGTTGAACGCTGAGCTGTAGTCAGTGAACAGCATTCTCACATAGGTGTTCCTCTTGTCCAGGTGGGAGAGGGCAGTGTGGATCTGTTGGGGCAGTTTGCGAATTCGAGTGGGTCCATGGTGTCTGGGATGATGGTGTTGATGTGAGCCATGACCAGCCTTTCAAAGCATTTCATGGCTACAGATGTGAGTGCTATGGGGCGATAGTCATTTAGACAGGTTACCTTGGTGTTCTGGGGCACAAAGACTATGGAGGTCTGCTTGAAACATGTAGGTATTAAAGATTGGGTCAGGGAGAGGTTGAAAATGTCAGAGAAGACACTTGCCAGCTGGTCAGCGCATGCTCTGAGTACGCATCCTGGTAATCCGTCTGGCCCCGCGGCCTTGCGAATGTTAACCTGTTTACAGGTCTTACTCACATCGGCTACGGAGAAGCTGATTGGCTAGGGAAGCTGGGATGAAGGGGTTGTGGAAGATAAAGAGGAGGAGGGGGAAAGGCTGAAGGGGATCAGGGTTAGAAGCTCTTCTGGAGAGAAGGGAAGAAGACCATATATATCAGGGTTGGGGTCAATTCAAATTGAAGCCAGTTAATTCAGGAAGCAAACTGAAATTCCAATACAGTAACTGAAAAAAGGGTGTCTCTTTTCAATGACTTGTCAATAAACTGGAAAGGAGAAGCTATTTACGTGAAAAGTTATTCTATTTTTTTATTAAAATCACTTCCTGAATTGACTAACTTCAATTTGAATTGACCCCAACCCTGATAGATATGCAGCTATTTACCTCGCTGGTTCTGAAGATGAATGGACCCCAACCCTGATAGACATGCAGCTATTTACCTCACTGGTTCTGAAGATGAATGGACCCCAACCCTGATAGATATGCAGCTATTTACCTCGCTGGTTCTGAAGATGAATGGACCCCAACCCTGATAGATATGCAGCTATTTACCTCGCTGGTTCTGAAGATGAATGGACCCCAACCCTGATAGATATGCAGCTATTTACCTCGCTGGTTCTGAAGATGAATGGACCCCAACCCTGATAGATATGCAGCTATTTACCTCGCTGGTCCTGAAGATGAATGGACCCCAACCCTGATAGATATGCAGCTATTTACCTCACTGGTCCTGAAGATGAATGGACCCCAACCCTGATAGATATGCAGCTATTTACCTCGCTGGTCCTGAAGATGAATGGACCCCAACCCTGATAGATATGCAGCTATTTACCTCGCTGGTTCTGAAGATGACCCTGTAGTTGTACTGCTGTCCATGCTCCTTGTGTTCCTCCAGCTTCTCTCTCCTCAGACTCACTGCTACTGGGCCCAGAGTCTCATCTACACCCAGGTAGTTCCAATGCTCTGGACGAGAGAGAAAATAAATAGATTTTCCCAACAGACAGTCATATCTACTCAACCTTAGCAATGCGTGAATAGAGACCGCTATAGAAGAAGAGGTAGTAAGTAGTAGTAAGTAGTAGTAGTAGTAGTAGTAGTAGTAGTAGTAGTAGTAGTAGTAGTAGTAGTAGTAGTAGTGGTAGTAGTAGTAGTAGTGGTAGTAGTAGTAGTGGTAGTAGTAGGAGTAGTGGTAGTAGTAGTATGGTGTGGGGGTAAGGGGGGTTTAGTAGGGGTATTTAGGTAGTGGTGGGGTAAGTAAGTTGGGAAGGGTATGGTAGAAAGGGGAGTGGTGTAGTGTATTTGGGAAGGGAGAAAGTGGGGGATTTGGTTATTTGGTAATAGTAGTATTTAGTGGTAGTAGTGGGAAGGGTATTTAGTAGTAGTAAGGGTTTAGTAGTATAATTTTAAAGTGTAGAAAGTGGTAGAAAGTAGTAAGTATTGGTATTTTAGTAGTAGTAGGGGTTTTAGATTTAGTAGTGGTAGTAAGTGGTATAGTAGTGAGGGAAATAGTAGTAGTAGTGGTAGTGGTAGTATTTAGGGGTAGTGGTAGTATTTATTTAGTGGGTAGTAGTAGTAGAAAGTTTTAGTGGTATATGGTAGTGGTAGTAGTAGTAGTGTGGTGTAGTAAGTAGAAAGTGGAAAAGTGGTAGTATAGTAGTATTTGGTAGTTTTGGAGTTTTTTTTTGTTTTGTAGTATTTAGTAGGGGGTAAGTAAGTAGTGGTAGTAAGTAGTGGTGGGGTAGTAGTAGTGGTGGTTTTAGTAGTAGTAAAGTAGAAATTTAAAGTAGTGGTAGTAGTGGTAGTATTTAAGGGTGTAGAAATTTTTAAAGTAGTGTAGTAGTAGAAATTAGTGGTAGAGTAGTAGTGGTGGTGGGGTGTAATAAAAGTAGTAGTATTTAGGGGTAGTAGTAGTAGTAGTGGGGGGTTAGTAGTATTTTATTTAGTAGTGGTGGTAGTGGTAGTGGGTAGTAGTAGGGGGAGGGGTTAGTGGTAGTGTAGAGTAGTATTTGGGTGTGGGAGGTATTTGGTGGGAGTTTTGGTATTTAGTATAGTAGTGTGGGGTGTAGTGGTAGTAGGGGGTAGTAGTAGTAGTGGTGGTAGTAGGTTAGTGGTAGCCAGTAGTAGTAGTAGTAGTAGTAGTCGTAGTGTGGTAGTAGTTGGTAGTAGTGGTAGTAGTAGTAGTAGTGTAGTGGTAGGAGTAGTAGTAGTAGTAGTAGTAGTAGTAGTAGTAGGTCGGTAGTGGTAGTAGTAGTAGTAGTAGTAGTTAGTAGTAGTGGTAGGTAGTAGTAGTAGTAGTAGAGTAGTAGTGTAGTAGTGTAGTAGGTAGTAGTCGTAGTAGTAGTAGTAGTAGTAGTGAGTAGTAGTAGTGGTAAGTAGTAGTAGTAGTGTAGTAGTAGTATAGTTAGTAGTAGTAGTAGTAGTGTCGTGTAGTAGTAGAGTAGTAGTAGTAGTAGTAGTAGTAGTAGTAGTAGTAGTAGTAGTAGTAGTAGTAGTATAGTAGTAGTAGTGTAGTAGTAGGTAGTAGTAGTAGTAGTGAGTAGTAGTAGGTAGTAGTAGTAGTAGTAGTAGTAGTAGTAGTGTAGTAGTAGTAGTAGTGTAGTAGTAGTAGTAGTAGTAGTAGTAGTAGTAGTAGTAGTAGTAGTAGTAGTAGTAGTAGTAGTGTAGTAGTAGTAGTAGTAGTGTAGTAGTAGTAGTGTAGTAGTAGTAGTAGTAGTAGTAGTAGTGTAGTAGTAGTAGTAGTAGTAGTAGTGTAGTAGTAGTAGTAGGTAGTAGTAGTAGTAGTAGTAGTAGTAGTAGTAGTAGTAGTAGTAGTAGTAGTAGTAGTAGTAGTAGTAGTAGTAGTAGTAGTAGTAGTAGTAGTAGTGTAGTAGTAGTAGTAGTAGTAGTAGTAGTAGTAGTAGTAGTAGTAGTGTAGTAGTAGTAGTAGTAGTGGTAGTAGTGGTAGTAGTAGTAGTAGTAGTGTAGTAGTAGTAGTAGTAGTAGTAGTAGTAGTAGTGTAGTAGTAGAAGTAGTAGTAGTAGTAGTAGTAGTAGTAGTAGTAGTAGTAGTAGTAGTAGTAGTAGTAGTAGTAGTGTAGTAGTAGTAGTGGTATAGTAGTAGTAGTAGTAGTAGTAGTAGTAGTAGTAGTATAGTAGTAGTAGTAGTAGTAGTAGTAGTAAGCCCCCAGACCTCTCCCTCCCTCTCACCTCTCAGATAGAAGTATTTCCTGTAGTAATAAGACCCCAGGTCGCAGTGCTCCACAGACCGTTTGGCCCTATCAGCGTGCTGCCCCTGGCCGTCTTTAGGGGCCTCCAGCACGGACACCCCGGCGTTGGTGAAGCGGGGGAGAGAGGTCTCCAGGGGCCCCTCCTCTGAGCCACCTCCTCCCCCAGAGCCACTGGAGCTGCCCCCGCTGCCTATACTACCCTGCTGAGAGGGGGGAGGGAGGAGTAATGTTAGTATGGAGGTATTGAGGGGGAGAAAGTGTGTTTTTTGACATGTTTGAAAGATGAACTGTCCGATAAAGTAATGTCTAAGTTCAATATCAATGATGATTGTTTCACATTGCATCAAATTTGACTTATCGTAATACTCAAAATAGGTAATGGAAATGTGCAAGTGTATAGAGCGAGTCAGTCTGCATGTGTGTGAGTGTATATAGTCACTGGCCAGTTTATTAGGTAAACCCCATCTAGTACTGGGTCGGACCCCCTTTGCCTCCAGAACAGTCTTTGGGGCATGGAAACGTTGCTCAATTGGTATCAAGGGACCTAACGTGTTCCAGGAAAATATTCCCCACACCATTACACCACTGCCACCAGCCTGTACCGTTGACACCAGGCAGGATGGGGCCACGGACTCACTCTGCCATCAGCATGACGCAACAGAAACCGGGATTCGTCGGACCAGGCAATGTTTTTCCAATCCTCAATTGTGCAGTGTTGATGATGGCGTGCCCCACTGGAGCCGCTTCTTCTTGTTTTTAGCTGATAGGAGTGGAACCCGGTGTGGTCGTCTGCTGCAATAGCCCATCCGTTACAAGGACAGACGAGTTGTATGTTCCGAGATGCCGTTCTGCACAGCACTGTTGTACTGCGCCGTTATTTGCCTGTTTGTTTCCCTCTTGTTAGCTTGCACGATTCTTGCCATTCTCCTTCGACCTCTCATCAACAAACTGTTTTTGCCCACAGGACTGCCGCTGACTGGATGTTTTTTTGTTTGTCGCACCATTCTCGGTAAACCCTAGACACTGTCGTGCGTGAAAAGCCCAGGAGGCCGGATGTTTCTAAGATACTGGAACCGGCGCGCCTGGCACCTACAATCAAAGTCGCTTAGGTCACTCGTTTTGCCCATTCTAACATTAAATAGAACAGTAACTGAATGCATCAATGGCCGTATAGCAAGCCACGGCCACACTGTCTGTAGGAGCGAACCATTTTCGTGAACGGGGTGGTGTACCTAATAAACTGGCCGGTGAGTGTATAGTGTATATATTATGCATTAATGTGTGTGTACAATGGTGGTAACGATGTTAGTATCGCGATTCCTGGCCGTAAGGAAGGAAAGGAGGAAAACAGTCATAATGTCAGACAAAACAATCTTATGTTATCACCCAGTCACAATTGTTTAGATTGCGTGCTGTAGCACACAATATTTTACATAAAGTACGTTTTTAAAGGACCATAGTGTTTAGTCGGCTTTGTAGGGGTTTCTTTGTGAAGGAAAAACTGGTACCATGACAACACTGGGTGTGTATTGTGTGTATGTCTTTCTGTGTGTATAATGTGTTCTCCTCCTCCTACCCGTTTAGAGAGGCCAATGTTCCTCTCTCCCTCTCCTCCCAGTTCATTCCTGAAACAAGGGCAGTTAAGCACCAGATCGTTGCTCTTCTCATCACCAGGGTCCAGGGCAGGGTTAGTGGTGTGTCCCCCTCCCTGTCCCGGACCCCCCTCCTTCCCACTCAGCTCCTCCTGGGACCCGCACGGAGAGCCGCCGCCGCCGTATACCCCACTCTGATTGGACGAGAGCGAGGAAGTGGCGGAGGCTGAGGCGGCGGCCGCAGCGGAGGCGCCCGTGGTGGTGTTCTTGCGTTTCCCGCCGGACTGTCGACCCTGGATAGCCTCGTTGAGGTCGAAGAGGATACTCTGTACGTCAAAGTGAGCAAAGCCTTTCTGACAGGACCAGGGTTTGGGAGGGGGGCCGCTGACATCCTCCCGCCCCACATCCTCCACGTCAGACCCAGCCCGGGACGAGTCACCCTCGGCCTTGACGCTGCGGAGCTTCCTGAAGATGGACTCCCCTCCCGTCTCCGACTGGAATAAGATAAGATCATGACTTTATTATCCCCATAGGGATTATTTTTTTTTTTGCATCACTGTGCACACATTAAAAACATTACCAATGTATGCACGAAACAATCATTGATTAAAATGTAATATTGGTGTAATGTACAGACTCATAATAAAAAAGTATTTAAAAAATAAACGTATCAAGCATAGACACGGGACAATTGTGACCCGTTTCAAGAAGCTAGGCCTAAGATGTCGCACATCGCTCCTTTACAGGAGAGCATTAACGTAAAAAAAAATAAATCAAAATGTGTTTTTTGGGCAGAAATGTCTTCTGGAACATGAACTTTCATTCGCATTAATAACAAAATTGTATGCCATCTTTAAATACGAACACAATTGTTAAAATTACGAGTCTAGTTGGTTTAGCCACGGGCAAATACAGGAACCTTTCCGCTAGCTATGATTAGCTGAGATAATGGAATGGGCTGGACATGCCGAGAGATGAGTTCCGATTGGTCTGCCATGTAGCATGCTTCTGTCTATAACATGAGCTGCTCAGTATGTGTAGATAATCCTGTCTACCGCAGCTTTTTTTGAAAGATATCATGAAGAACTGAAAAAGTGTTGCTACTGCTCTCAACATCGCTGCCCTGAAGTTAACAGGCGCTATCGACAAAGATCAGTGTGAAAAAGTTGTGATGGACTACTTTCTGGAGGACGATGAAAAGAAATCAGACGATGAAGAAATTCCTGATTTAGGCAAAAACATTTTCATTGAACCAGACATTGTAGAGTCTTCTGATGACAGTGATGGGGAAGAAACGGAGATCAACAGTGTTGTTGTCACAGAAGAAGTTGACCGAGTTTTAAAATCAGTGGAATGCCCGGTGGAAGCAGAGAGATGATTGCCAAATGCGGAGAGAGTCGAAAAGAGAACACAGAAGGCTATTTTATAAACACCTGTCTCTGGATTACATCTTCAAACTAAGGGCAATCATGGCATCCGTGACAGAGAGGGAGAAGCGTTCATCCATGTATACGGGTAAGAGCAATTTTCAGATATTATACATTTCTCATTTAGTCAGAAAGTCATTTTCATTGCAAGTTAAAGCGTACTGTTAGCTAGCTAGCTAACATTGAACCTTGTTGGGTTAGCTTTAGCTACCTGCAGATTAATGCATGGTGCATGGTAGTATGAGTTGGGATTATGGTTCATTGTTTATCTAGCTAGCTACGTCTAAACAAAAGACTCCACTATGTAACCATTTCACTGTACCTTTTACACCTTCTGTATCCTGAGCATTTGACGAATAAACTTTGATTTTATTTGCTATAGTGTGTGTTTACCAGAGACGGTAATGTGAAGAACAACATGACCTGCACCAAAGTCAAATTAGGATATAGGCCAAGGACTAGATCAAGTGTATTTTTACCTCTACTTTCTGCTATTACTTTCACCACTTTTAATCTTTGGTTGTTTACTACACTACCTTATTCACTCTGTTTAGCACATGGCCTCACATATGAATCCTTAAAGAGATGGGTGGGGCTAAGGCTTAAGAGGGTGTGAACAAAAAAGAGCTCTCCAGTAGGTATACCAAAACATTCATGGAACATTTTCTCAAAAGTGAGGTTACAAGTTTATCTTTCAAAGCAGTATTACATTCCCTTTGTTCTTCAACTGCAGTGTATGATATACCATTTACTCCCTTCTGAGTCTCTAGTTTTATCCAAAAAAACACAATTTCAAATTTTGCTACATAGGACCCAATCCAGGTGGTGGGTCACAATTACAGACAAGATAAATACGATCTATCAATAGCTAGCTAGCTAATGCTTTTGTTTAAATGATGCATCTGGACACAGTACCAGCTTTTTTTTAACATGGTTGCTTGTTCCTGATCTTCTGAGAACATTGTTTGTCACCTGAAGTTTGAGAGGAATGGGAGATGCAGTAGAGGAATGCAGTGTTGAGGCAGAGGGCTCGTAATGAGCACGACTGACTACTACTCTGAACTGTGTGTGGTGAGCTTTCTGGCGCCCAGAGCTGCTGAGGTATCACACAAGTGGGTGCCACACATTGTGAAGCAGAAGTCCAGCGGTTGCACAACTCAGGCTGGTTCCAAGATCAAGCCAATGAGCCGTCCCCTCTCCATCTTTGGAGGATGCATGCACTCAAAGACTTGGCCACTATTGGTTGACCTAGCTAGCTATAGCTAGGCTACTCATGATGATGCATTGCTTGTTTGTTTTTTGCTTTGAGATTTTCTTCTGTTATCAAAAGCGCTATAGAAGTTTAATACATGATTATTATTATTAATGAGAAGATAGTAAAAAGGTTCATGTGCAGTACCTTGGACCTCCTCTTCAGGTGTTTCTCCCTTTCCTTCAGGCGACTGGCGGGGCTACCTCTGGTAGGACCCAGGGGTCCATCAGGCAGATCCAGGGCAGCCTGTTTGTGCGGGGCCACCGTCAGCAGCTCGCCGAGTCTGTCCGGCGCCGGGCTGCGTTGATCAGGAGCCTCCTGGGACGTATAGCCCTTGAACGAATGAAGTTTATTTGACACATTTAAAATAAATACAATAAGTGCATTCAACACTTTCATGTGTCATACTCTGGAATTCTATTTTTTGTATTATTTTTTAAACTGTACTAATTGTTTTACATTAAATCAATCAATCAATTAATGAATCAATCAATAAAATACCTTGAGCATATCGAAGAAGCTCTCCCCTGAGCCTGCGTGTTTGTCTATGGACGAGGTGCTGCCGTACTCTCGGTGCATGGGGGTCCAGCCAGAGAAGGACCAGCCCTCGCCCCCGTCACCCTCTAACTCAGAGATAGTGATGTCGCTGTTGCTGCGCTGGCGGATACGCCTCATGCCTTTACGTGGCGAGCCCTGGTAGCCGTCCGGTGACAGATAGCGGTTGTCTTTGCTGTGGTGTTTGCTGTGGTGCATCTTGCTCTTCAGGGTGTTGTGAATGTTCCGGAGCATCGAAGAGTCCTGAGGACTGATCAGGTGGCCCAGTTTAGCCGACAGGTTGCTATGGGCCGTAGTCGCTGAGCCTGAACCTGACCCCGAGCTCCGTTCTCGTTCTCTTTCTCCGCTTCCGCCCGACCCGCGTTCTCCACCCGACCCACATTCTCCACCACCTGAAGATGACATGGTGGAACTCGGGGAGTCCGTATCTACGGTGATGTGCCACACCCCGCCCGTTCCATCCCGTTTGGGGGGCCAGTCCGCCACGCGGGCCCTGACCCCCATCTTGGGAACCCCCGGATTGGAGGAGGAAGAGGAGCCGGACGAGGAAGAGGAGGTGAGGTGGGTGCTCTCGGAGCGAGGTGGGGGGGCGCCACCATTGGGGAGGCGCAGGCGACGGGTGTAGAATTCATCAGAGGCAGGGACCGAGCCGCCCACCGAACGCTCCGTCTGAGACCGCTTCAGACTGGTCATGGTTGGGTGAGGTTAGGGGGTAAGGTGGAGTAAGGGGGAGCTCAGCAGTAGAGATGGAGCATTATGCCCAGGGAGAGGAGAGGATAGAGAGCCTCACAGAGCATGGGTGGCTGGGAGGACTGGAGGAGGGAGAGAGAAAGGGAGGATGGAGGGAGTGTTGGTGCACCTCAGGTCTGCATGCTGCTTCGGTCTCTGGTGAACTCTGCAGGAGAGAGAGGAAGAGGAGAGAGGAAGAGGAGAGAGAGGAAGAGGAGAGAGAGGAAGAGGAGAGGAAGAGGGTTAGATGTTTGGTTAGGCTTCGATAGAGGCGCCTTTGGCATGGCTATAACAACTTTGAAGTTGTTTTTTATCAAGCAGAAGAAACACATAGCTCAGACTCTCGCTCTTCACTAACTCTGGCTGAAGACGTGGCAGTGTGGTTGGTACAGCTTGTCCCATGAATCAATCATACAATTTAGGATTAGCTGATAACTGCCAAACAAACATTCTGGATAATATAGAGAACCTTGAACTATTTATTGATCAGCATTTTGTTATGCTCGAAAAAGAAACCGGTCCTTGAGCTCTGCGAGCGAAATTTAAGGGAAGCCGCCGTCTAAAATTCCAAATGTAATAATTGGCGGGGGAGGTTTTTATAACTATGTCTCCAGAATATACAGCATTGCTTACAAGCATGAGCGAGCAGTTAAGAAAGCTGGATCTATTGCCTGGGCTACTGGGGGAGGTTGAGTCCTTAAAAACAGGAATGGATAACAGTAATAAAATGATGGAAGAAATACTGAAAATAAGAAAACTACCGTGGACTCCCTAGAAGACACTACAGAGAGGCTACGGTATGATAAAACACTGAAAGCAGAATTACTGGATCTAAAGTGCAGAAGTATGAAGAATAATATAGTTATAATGGGAATAAAGGAGGATGAAAACTATCAGTCAACGGAGGAAAAAGTCAAGGTGTTCATGAAACGTAATCTCAAGATGAAGGACGAACAGTTGGATACAATCCCTCGACTTCTTGGCGGTGACGGAAACATGGATTACCACTGAAAACACTGCAACTCCTACTGCTCTCTCCTCGTCTGACCATGTATTCTCGCATACCCCGAGAGCATCTGGTCAGCGGGGTGGTGGCACAGGAATCCTCATCTCTCCCAAGTGGACATTCTCTATTTTTCCCCTGACCCATCTGTCTATCTCCTCATTTGAATTCCATGCTGTCACAGTCACTAGCCCATTTAAGCTTAACATCCTTGTCATTTATCGCCCTCCAGGTTCCCTTGGAGAGTTCATCAATGAGCTTGACGCCTTGATAAGTTCCTTTCCTGAGGATGGCTCACCCCTCACAGTTCTTGGGGACTTCAACCTCCCTACGTCTACCTTTGACTCATTTCTCTCTGCCTCCTTCTTTCCACTCCTCTCCTCTTTTGACCTCACCCTCTCACCGTCTCCCCCTACTCACAAGGCAGGCAATACGCTTGACCTCATCTTTACTAGATGCTGTTCTACTAATCTCACTGCAACTCCCCTCCATGTCTCCGACCACTACTTTGTATCCTTTTCTCTCTCGCTCTCCTCCAACACTACTCACTCTGCCCCTACTCAGATGGTAATGCGCCGTCGCAAACTTCGCTCTCTCTCTCCCGCTACTCTCTCCTCTTCCATCCTATCATCTCTTCCCTCTGCTCAATCCTTCTCCCTCCAATCTCCTGATTCTGCCTCCTCAACCCTCCTCTCCTCCCTTTCTGCATCCTTTGACTCTCTATGTCCCCTATCCTCCCGGCCGGCTCGGTCCTCCCCTCCAGCTCCGTGGCTTGATGACTAATTGCGAGCTCACAGAACAGGGCTCCGGGCAGCCGAGCGGAAATGGAGGAAAACTAGACTCCCTGCGGACCTGGCATCTTTTCACTCCCTCCTCTCTAAATTTTCTTCATCCGTTTCTGCTGCTAAGGCCACTTTCTACCACTCTAAATTCCAAGCATCTGCCTCTAACCCTAGGAAGCTCTTTGCCACCTTCTCCTCCCTGCTGAATCCTCCTCCCCTTCCCCGCCCCTCCTCCCTCTCTGTGGATGACTTCGTCAACCATTTTGAAAAGAAGGTCAAATGACACTGCTGGTCCTGCTCACACTGCCCTTACCCCCTCTCTCTCCAGATAAAATCTTGCGACTTGTGCCGGCCGCCCAACAACCTGCCCGCTTGACCCTATCCCCTCCTCTCTTCTCCAGACCATCTCCGGTGACCTTCTCCCTTACCTCACCTCGCTGATCAACTCATCCTTGACCGCTGGCTATGTCCCTTCCGTCTTCAAGAGAGCGAGAGTTGCACCCCTTCTCAAAAAACCAACACTCGATCCCTCTGATGTCAACAACTACAGACCAGTATCCCTTCTTTCTCTTTTCTCCAAAACTATTGAGCGTGCCGTCTTTAGCCAACTCTCTTGTTATCTCTCTCAGAATGACCTTCTTGATCCAAACCAGTCAGGTTTCAAGACTGGTCATTCAACTGAGACTGCTCTTCTCTGTGTCACGGAGGCTCTCCGCACTGCTAAAGCTAACTCTCTCTCCTCTGCTCTTGTCCTTCTAGACCTGTCTGCTGCCTTTGATACTGTGAACCATCAGATCCTCCTCTCCACCCTCTCCGAGCTGGGCATCTCCGGCGCGGCTCACTCTTGGATTGCGTCCTACCTGACCGGTCGCTCCTACCAAGTGGCGTGGCGATAAGCTGTCTCCGCACCACGTGCTCTCACCACTGGTGTCCCCCAGGGCTCAGTTCTAGGCCCTCTCCTTTTCTCCCTATACACCAAGTCACTTGGCTCTGTCATATCCTCACATGGCCTCTCCTATCATTGCTACGCAGACGACACACAACTAATCTTCTCCTTTCCCCCTTCTGATAACCAGGTGGCGAATCGCATCTCTGCATGTCTGGCAGACATATCAGTATGGATGACGGATCACCACCTCTAGCTGAACCTTGGCAAGACGGAGCTGCTCTTCCTCCCGGGGAAGGACTGCCCGTTCCATGATCTCGCCATCACGGTTGACAACTCCGTTGTGTCCTCCTCCCAGAGTGCGAAGAGCCTTGGCGTGACCCTGGACAACACCCTGTCGTTCTCCGCTAACATCAAGGCGGTGACCGGATCCTGTAGGTTCATGCTCTACAACATTCGGAGAGTACGACCCTGCCTTACACAGGTCCTAATCCAGGCACTTGTCATCTCCCGTCTGGATTACTGCAACTCGCCCTGCCTGTGCCATTAAACCCCTACAACTCATCCAGAATGCAGCCCGTCTGGTGTTCAACCTTCCCAAGTTCTCTCACATCACCCCACTCCTCCGCACACTCCACTGGCTTCCAGTTGAAGCTCGCATCTGCTACAAGACCATGGTGCTTGCCTACGGAGCTGTGAGGGGAACGGCACCTCCATACCTTCAGGCTCTGATCAGTCCCTACACCCAAACGAGGGCACTGCGTTCATCCACCTCTGGCCTGCTGGCTCCCCTACCTCTGCGGAAGCACAGTTCCCGCTCAGCCCAGTCAAAACTGTTCGCTGCTCTGGCACCCCAATGGTGGAACAAGCTCCCTCACGACGCCAGGACAGCGGAGTCACTCACCACCTTCCGGAGACATTTGAAACCCCACCTCTTTAAGGAATACCTGGGATAGGATAAAGTAATCCTACCACCCCCTTACCCCACCAAAAAAAAACATTGTAAAGTGGTTATCCCACTGGCTATTAGGTGAATGCACCAATTTGTAAGTCGCTCTGGATAAGAGCGTCTGCTAAATGACGTAAATGTAAATGTAAATGTAATTGATTTTCAAAGGGCTCACCGTTTCAGTGGTGGAGGGGAGGGAAGGGAAGGCCTGTCTGATAGTAGCTAGGCTAACTCAGTACAGAAATGAAGAATGCCTTGCTACAACAGGGTAGGGACCTGAAGAACGCCAAGTTTGTGGAGAGAAGGAATGCCCTGTACCCCACTTTCAAAAGGCTCCGAGCAGAGAAGCAGAATGTTTGTCTAGTGTTCGATAAATTGTACGTAAACAACCAAGTGTTCAAGGACTGGAAGATTACAATGTGGCCGTGAGTGGTAGAGGACTGGAAGATTATATAACGTGGCTGTGAGTGATAGAGGACTGGCAGATTACAACGTGGCTGTGGGTGATAGAGGACTGGCAGATTACAACGTGGCTGTGAGTGATAGAGGACTGGCAGATTACAACATGGCTGTGAGTGATAGAGGACTGGCAGATTACAACGTGGCTGTGAGTGATAGAGGACTGGCAGATTACAATGTGGCTGTGGGTGATAGAGGACTGGCAGATTACGTGGCTGTGAGTGATAGAGGACTGGCAGATTACAACATGGCTGTGAGTGATAGAGGACTGGCAGATTACAACGTGGCTGTGAGTGATAGAGGACTGGCAGATTACAACGTGGTTGTGAGTGATAGAGGACTGGCAGATTACAACGTGGCTGTGAGTGATAGAGGACTGGCAGATTACAACGTGGTTGTGAGTGATAGAGGACTGGCAGATTACAACGTGGTTGTGAGTGATAGGGACTGGCAGATAACAACGTGGTTGTGAGTGATAGAGGACTGGCAGATTACAACGTGGCTGTGAGTGATAGAGGACTGGCAGATTACAACGTGGTTGTGAGTGATAGAGGACTGGCAGATTACAACGTGGCTGTGAGTGATAGAGGACTGGCAGATTACAACGTGGTTGTGAGTGATAGCTATCTCCTGCTGAAGTAGTCCCTGATACACATTATATCACATTACAATTATGGATAAATTTTTACATTATTATTTATTTTCTACCATTTTTATGCATGATGGAACCGTGGACTATATGGACTTAAAATCAGGTTTGGATCTAGGGGAAGCAGAAGATGGGTAAGGCTGATCTTTTCTCTTTTTGTTTGTTTATTTATTTAATTTGAAGACTGCACGGGCAATAAAATAAAAAACCAAGGTAGTGTTTTTTAGTTTGATATG